CTCCGACGTTGTGGTGTTCGCTGGGTATTTTTCTGGCTGGATGCGGTTTGTCCGTCGGGCTGTAATTGTCGATTTGTTCGTTTCGAGTGGTAGTCGACATTGTATTGCGAAGTACTTCTAGCCGCTACGTCTGCGCATCTGGTTGGATGGGTCATATTCTCGATTCGTTCGCTAACCGGAGCTCTCTTTGTACCCCTTCCATCACACAATGTCGCACCCACGAGAAGTTGCGTTTTCTAATATCTTCTCTTATTTTTAGAAAACACGAACCAACCATATGCGTAATAACGTAATTTCTGCCTACGCAGTGTCGAGGTTCCTGATACCTACTCACTGGGTCGTTGACCGATGTTCGTGACGGCCATTGATCAACCAACCTGCAATGTCGCNTAGTGTGACGCGAGTCACAATTTTCATTGATTGGTTAACCTTAAGGAGGAATGTACACTGATGCCGGCCCTCGAAGACAGTGTCATTTGACATCAAAATATGCAAATACCTGTCGATCAAAGAGAGACAAGATGAGTTTAAAATGCTGAGTCAGTCAGGTGCAACTCGGAGCTCGTATCCAAATCACTTGGCATTTCAACTGATTAAGGTGTATTGATCGGTTCCACTATAATCTGGCTGCAACAAAAGAGAACGAGCCGGTGGGTCTATACAGACATTAATGTTACACGTTTTCACTAGAAAATCATGAACAGATTGCAAAGCTAATGATGAGGGTTTGGAATATGGGAAAACAGTCCATGAACTGAGCATACCCAGTAACAAATATCTCACTTGTTTTCAATTACGCGATTTCCTTCGAATTCGATTTCACCAACCAATTCAGCGTCAAGCAGGAAGGTGGTCGGTTTGTGGGCAACTTGAATACCATATGATCTGAGCAGTCTAACTGTCATTTTCGACCACCCTTGCTGTATGGCAGGCTTGTTGCTGTTGTTCTTGATTCTCCTCTGTTGTTTGTTTCCTTCTTTGAGTCAGAGTTGTTTTGATGAGGTTACGGGTGTAGTCGTTGCGAGCAAATACTCTGAGTAGATAGCTTTCTTCTCTCCTTTTGAGTGTTTTGGTTCTTTAATGTGTTTTGATTCTTCCCATCAGGATCCTGGCATAGGGTCTTATATGGATGTCGGGACGATTACTTTTGAATTAAAATATTTAATTCGTATGCGTTGCTTTGTGGCTGGCCATTGTCTGCAGATTTCCTGATGGCGGTTCGGTGAATGAGATATATAAATGTGCCCGTTGTCTATCTTTGTCTATCTCCATTGTGAATTAAATGTCATGGATTGGGCTATTGATTTTGTGTGATTATCATAGCTATAACAGTTGTCAATTTTGGTGGACGCCATATACTCAGTTCTGTGGTTAACCTAACATCAAAAAGAATGGAGGAATGTCTGGAATTAATATACGGTCATTGGGTTATCAAAATTTCCCCTGAATAACAGTTAGCACTTTCGGGGTTAATAGACAATTGAAAATGAAAAAAGGCTGTATACCAAATGCGCTGTACCAATATTATGCTGAGGGCATAATAAACGAGATCAATTTCTTCGAAACATAAAGGCTACGCGAGAAGGTACATTCGTCGGTAGACATTCCCGGAGTAGAGAGTTGCTGTGTATGGTCTTCTGTGGTTGTTGACGGTGTATTACGGGATGGGTTTTCTTGGGCTTCGTCGGCCGGATCCTCAATCGGAGTGGGATTCTCGTTGAAGTGGATTTGATCGATCTGACGTCGGTGAACTGTTGCATCTCTTAGGTCTGTGATCTCTACCATGGCTCGACTAATCTTACGGGTAATGATTTCTTTCGATGGTCTCAGGTCGTTTCCTCTAAAGTATACAACGTCACTTGAATCCAGGCATCGTAGT